ATATATATATATGTTCGTAATTTTTTCAGCTAACCAATGTGGGACTTTGTTCGCACATCCAACAAAAATATTTTCCTGGAAAAATAAGTGATGTTCTCACATATTTTTCTATGTTTGTAGTTGAGTCGATACTTAATATTGAACTTGTGCCATTTCAATCTTCATCAGTAGGGGGTGTTCAAACCGAACCAAAAAACCGCACTAAACCGTAAAGTCAAGTCAACCCGATTTAAAAACCCGACTAGGTTTGATTTAATATTGAGTAAGAAAATATGATCCAAACTGATATATAAATATATAATTTTATATATACTTTTAAGACTTTATATAGAATTTTCTTTCAAAAATGTCTAAAAATATTTGGGATTCTTTCATGGGATGTAATATTTAATAGAGCTATGAAGTTCATTTTTTTTTATATTTACCTTAAAATAGGTTGTATCACTTTCTTATCAAGTATTATTGAAATGCGTCAATCATCTCTTTGTTTTTCCATATTCACATATTGTGATGACCCGATAGGTCATCTTATGATTTAAAACCAAATTTTGTGTTTCGAGGCTTTAAAAACCTCATTTTATCCTCCTCGATTTACGTGTGCATCCCTGGCATGTTTCTGAAAAGCTTTTATGTTGAAAGTTGATAAAAAATAAGGATTTTTGCTTAAAAGACTTCTTTAAGTTGACTTCGGTTAATATTTTTGTTAAACGGACCCGTACTTGTGTTTGGACAGTCTCGGTGGGTCCGTATCAAAATATGGGACCTGGGCGTATGCCCGGAATTGGATTCGGAGGTCCCTAGCTCGAGTTATGAATCTTTGTTGAAAAGTCGGAAAATTTAATGTTTTTTTAGAATTTATTCATGTTTGATCTTGATGGTACTGGGTCCGTATTTTGGTTCCGGAGCCCGGTACAGGTTCATTATAATATTTAATACGAGTCTGTGAAATTTGGTGAGAAATGGAGTTGGTTTGACATGATTTGGACGTTTGGTTGTGAAAATAGAAATTTCAAAGTATTCTTGAGAATTTCAATTGATTTGGTGCCAAATTCGTAGTTTCAAGTGTTATTTTGGTGATTTGATCGCACGAGCAAGTTCGTATGATGTTTTATGACTTGTGTGCATGTTTGGTTTGGAGCCCCGAGGGTTTCGGGTGAGTTTCGGATAAGCTACGGAGTGTTTTGAACTTGTAAACCATAGCTGGTGTGCTTCAGGTCTGTAGACTTCGCATTTGCGAGGTCTGGCTCGCAAATGCGAGCCTCGCATTTGCAAGCAGTGGGGCTAGGAGGGGACATTCGCAATTGCGAAGTTCCAATTGTGATCATTGCAGGCCGCATTTGCGAACAATTGTTCGCATTTGCCAAGACAACAGGGCTGGGGAAACTTCGCATTTGCAAAGAGTTTCTCGCAACCCCTGGTCGCATTTGCAACATCTGCAGCTGTGTAAAACTCAACTTAGACCGGATTTTTGCTCATTTCTCAAAACTTTCAAAACAAGAAACCCTCTAGGCGATTTTTCAAAGACTTTTTCTTCCCCAAATCATTGGTAAGTGATTCTAACTCATTTTCTTTCAATCTTTCATTACATTTCACAAATCTTTAACCTAAAATCTAAGGTTTTCATGGTGGGATTGGGGATTTTTGGGTAGAAATTAGAGTTTTCGAAATTTGGTGATTTAGACCTCAAATTGAGGTCGCATTCCAAAACCATTTGTATATCTGGGCTTAGGGGTGAATGGGTAATCGGGTTTTGGCCCGAATTCCAAGTTTGGACCAAGCGGTCCCGGGTGTTGACTTTTTCAAAAATGACCTATATTGAATCTTTGTTTATCGTGGGTGATTCCTAAGGCTTATTTGAATCGTTTGGTTGGTAATTCGCTAGATATTGTTGGTTCGGAGGCTAATTTGAAAGGCAAGGCTATGATTGAGCTTTAAGTGATATTTGGAGCGAGGTAAGGCCTCATTTGTTTGCACTTAATGGAGGTCTGAATCTTAATCATTCAGATCTCAGACATTAAGTGCGTTTATTTTTAAAGTCTGAATTTTAATTATTCAGATCTTAATCATTAAATGTTTTTTTTTTTTACTTTACAACCACCTAATGGGTCTGAATAGGTCTGTATGATTAAGATCTATAATAGAGACTTAATTTCATTAAGATGCTATCACATATTCATTATTAACTGCCACCACAACCTATCATTATCAACTACCACCATGCCGCCGCCACCACCGTACTCAACCACCACCACCACCACCACCACCTCCACCACCACCACGCCACCATCATCCTCAATCATAGCCGCCACCATTATCGACCATCACCATCCACTATCCCCACCACTCCGACCAATATCATTCTCCCCCACATTCAACACTCATCGACCTCAAATACCACAACTGACCACCCCATCACCATCAACAACCACAGCCGACATTGTCCATCATTATAACCTACCACCACCAACCCACCACCTTCCTAAGTCACAACTACTACCACCACCCGCCATTATTAACTATCATCCACCACCACCACCATCCTCAATCATAATTGCCACCACTACCAATCACTACTAGCTACTAGCATGAACCACCATCATCAACCAAAACTACCACCAACCACCGCCTCTAGTCGGCATTCACCCGTTAGTCATCACCACCACCAACTATCATATTTTTAAAAATTATATATTTTATTGATAGAATATTAGATTAGTTATTTCATTTGAATTTTAAGTTTATTAATTTTCAAATAAAGATAAATTTTATACATTAAGATGTTAAAAATCAAACAATTTAATTATTTCTATTTAGATCTTAATACACATCTTAATATATTCAGATGTGTATTCAGATTCAGATGTCTTAATCTTAATACACATCTTTATATTCAGATGTGTATTCAGATTCAGACGTCTTAATTTTAAGAAAAACAAATGAGGCCTAAGTGTGGTGTCTAACCTTGACTTGAGGGAATTAGGAACCCTCGTACTATGTGCTATGTGATTCTCATGTGAGCGGCGTATATGCAAGGTGACTAGTGCTTATACGCCGCCAAATTATTTGTTTTCCTTGATTTACTGTTTTTCCTTAATTGTTTTCTTCCCTGTCTTAATTGTTATATGCTCTAAATGCTTTTCATGCTTAACTGCTACGTGTTAATCAATATCTTCTTCTGTTAACCATGTTAGCTATCTTCATAGTTTCATGAATTCCTGTTAATTGCTTAATTTGACTTGTTTGCACTTTCAAATTGTAAATTTGTTGGATTGGTCTCGCTGTGTAGTATTATTTGCGTAGGTCCTATATTGAAAAGGTTCCTTTTTCTTGGTTCAGTTTGGTATTTAATTTTCGTAAAGGCCTTGTGATTTAGCCTGTTATTTGACTGTGTACATTGAGTATTTGGTACTGGTATGGTGGGATCGGGCTGCACGCCGCAGCAAGTGTAATAAGGGAGGATTGATATGGTGGAATACGGGTGAATATGCTTATACGGTGGGATCGGGTTGCACATCGCAACAGGTGGAATAAGGGGGGATTGATATGGTGAAATAAGGGTGAATTATGATATTAAAATTGATATATGGTAGGATCGAGTTGCGCGCCGCAACAAAAACATATATTATTTACTGTTATTGATATTGTT